ACTGTGTGGACTCCATAGGCCTTGCCAGTGATAAGAAGGGGACAGCCCCCTGGATGTTGGTGGCACATGCTTTTAATCCCAGCACTCGGGAGGCAGAGGCAGGCAGATCTCTGTGAGTTTGAGACCAGCCTGGTCTACAGAGCAAGTTCCAGGACAGCCTCCAAAACAATACAGAGAAACCCTGCCTCAAAAAACCAAAAAAAAAAAAAAAAAAAAAAAAGAAAAAAAAAAAAAAAAAGAAAAAGACTGGGACAGCCCATTAGGACATGGCAGTTAGAGACACCTGGACCCTACATAAGCTTCCTGAACATCTCAGTGTAAGCAAACATGGAGGTCACAGCCTGTGTCCCAAGCCAGGTTTGGCTACTTTTCTTCAGTAAGCCAATTAAGCACTACAAACTATTAATAATGGGAAGCAGAAAAAGGAGATTTAGTCAGTGTGGCCACATTGGCAAGCCCGACAGAGAGATCCAGTGCGTCCCCAAACCCATCTTCAGGATCCTGAATTGAGACTAAAGTTTAAATTGAAGGTGGATTTGCACATCTAAGCAGTCCTGGCCAAGGTGTGGCTCCCCCCACCACTGACCCATCACTGTGTGACTTATGTCTCATTCTGTAAGGTCTCTGCCAAGCTTTCAGAACTCTGTGAGCTCTGGCTAGTACAATGCTTCAGTCCTTCCCTTTTCCCATCATGGGACTCCTGGGAAATTTTCATCACGTCCGTCGTCTCAGTAACCCAACAGGCAAAGGGAAAGGTAGGAGGGTCCCCTTGGAATGTCTGGCACAACATATTTCTAATTTTAAACTTTTAGAAGGCAAAGGGGTCTGAATTTAACCTGGTATTAACGGCGTCTGCAAAGGCTTCAGCCCACGTCATGCCTTGACGTTAGATCATTGGTATAATGAGGGCATCACAAATCTCTAGATTAATCTATTGTCTCTCCACTCTCACTCTTTCTGTGTGTGTGTGTGTGTGTGTGTATGTTTGTGTGTGAGTGTGTATAATGAAGCACGTGTATGGTATGCAGCACATTAGTGTTTTGTGACAGTGTCTCTCAGTGAACCCACAGCTCACCCACCAGCTAGATGGAGATAATGTGTGTGCACCACCATGCCCAGTGATTTTTCTGGATTCTCAGGTCCAAACTCAACACCTCATCTCATAAAGCAAGTTCCTTGTCCAATGAGTCACCTTCCATTTTATTCACAGAATATAATAAAGTTATGTTTCTGCCTTCCTGTGTCAATTAGTCATCTACCTGGCACACAGTTAGTAATCAGGTGGTAGTCACAGTGTTTGTCTAAGGGACAGACTTAATTCCTCCAATGTTGTTCCTAGAGACAAACAGAAATTCACAGTGACCCTCCTTGTTATATTTCTGTTGTTCCTGAATGTGTCTTTTATGGGCGCGTGCGCGTGTGTGTGTGTGTGCGCGCGTGCGTGTGTGTGTGTGTGTGTGTGTGTGTGTGTGTGTGCTCACACATGCGCCCTCACTGTGTGACATGAACTATGGCACGCAGAAGACGAGCGTCCTCCAAACTTTCCCTTATAATGTGCTTTTTCTTCAGCCTTCTTTGGAGGCCTTACCATGGGTTCAAGTGTCGCTTAGGCACATCTGTTCGAGACTGTGCTTGGAGAGTGGAAAACACTGAGAGTGGCGTGTAATGAGATAAAGTGCTCAGTGATGAATTAAAGGATGATTTAAAGCCCTCGTTATAGCCATCTGTGTTAGCTTCCCATTACAAATTAAAATAACCATCTTGATACACATTTAATTTCTTCCAAAACACCTGTTCTAAGAGGAAATGTACTTTTCACATCATTGAGATGGCAACATTTCAAAAATATTTCACTTTATTGAAAATTCAGTTACGTTTCAGGATAAATGTTCTCACATGTCATTGTGGGTGTGGAGGGAATCGTTCCCAATCAAAATTCCTGTGTGACAGAGCTCATCCATTATTTTCTTTTCCATTTTTCTTCACCCTGGCTATCTTGGAGCTTGCTCTGTAGACCAGGCTGACCTCAAACTCACAGAGATCCACCTGCCTCTGTCCCTGATTGCTGGGATTAAAGGTGTGTACTATCACTGCCTGGGAGGGATTATTTGTAAGTTATTGGTGAGTGATTTTGGCTTTATTTTTCACTCATTAAAAAATCACCTTTGAAGTTGAAATGTGATCAGTTACCGACTATTGACTTGGGCAGGGTAAGTCATCCATGGAAATTGGAGCACTCATTCCTATATCTTGGCTTCACTGTGTATTTGGTTGCCTCATTTTCCTCCGTGGCAGACAGCCACTTCATCAATAACCCTACTTGTAGCAGAAGGTGAGTTGGCTCAGTGAGTGAAGTGCTTGCTGCACAACCGTTGGGACCTGAGTTCTGATTCCCAGAATCCATAAGAAAGCTGTGCATTGCTGCCAGTCCAGGGGAGACAGGCAGGTGGATTCCTGGAGCTCACTAGCTTAACCACCTCAAAAACTTCGGGGTGGAGATCAATTAAGGAAGACACCTGACATCATCCTCCACATACATTCTCACATACATGCCCACATACATTGAACATGTGCACCCACATGCACATGTGTGAACACACAAAATATTCTGGTTGTTTGGTTTCACAGTACACCGGCAACTTGACTAATTTTTCTGCCAACCCAGATATGAATTAATGATAAGGGCATCTTCAGACTAAATGAAGAGAATTCTGACTTACAATTGCCGCATTGTCTAGGCACTGTTTCCATAACTGAGCGGCAGAAGAACTACCAGAAGTTCCTTTAACTATGATGGTTTGTGATCCCTGCCACAAGAAATGGAAAGATTCCTCCTCCTTCATGGGTTCCTTTTAAACATCCCCATAAAACAGGAGGACCGCTGGAAACTGTCGGATGCTCCCTGTCTGCCTGGAAAGGACTGCTTAATTGAAGCAGTGACCTTCCTCTCTTTTCCATTCAAAGATCACCTTTGCCCCCTGAATGGGGCATCGGGGGAATGATTTCTACCTTGGAGAATTAGATTCTTCTGTCTCTGTGTGCTATATACCCTCCTTGGAGTACATTAAAAAACCATGAGATGGAAAGCAACCAAGGCACGTGCTTTATTATCTTTCAAACATAGGTTCTTTGAAGGCAGTGATAGTCAGGTTCAGTATGGCCTGCATTTAAATACATTTCCAAGCCATTCTAAGATTCTCACTGGAGCCAAGCTTCCGTGAGCTCACTGCCCGCTATACTGCAATGCTTACCTCTGCACTGTCTTGGACCATGGCAACTGTGCTACCCTGTATGCCCTCCTCCGCCAAGGCAGGAGAGCCCAGAGAGGAGAGGGCACTTGGCCTTTGGGAGGGGAGCACAGATGGCTTGCTATGATAGAGATTTATGAGCATCAGGATGATGTGTAGAAGAAGATACAGCAATGATGAGAATCATAGAAACCAATGTGATATCCCTAAGTAGGAGGAGAGGCCACAGAGGGTTTCTCAGAGGCAGTAATGTAAGGGTTCAGGTGTGGAAACATAATTGTTAATTCAGTCATAGGAATGTATGGGCTCAATCCAACTAATTTCTCTTCCCTTCCCTTCCCTTCCCTTCCCTTCCCTTCCCTTCCCTTCCCTTCCCTTCCCTTCCCTTCCCTCCCATCCCCTCCTCTCTTCTCCTCTCCTCTCCCTTCCCTCCCCTCCCCTCCTCTCCTTCCCCTCTCTTCCCTTTACTTCTCTTCCTTTCTTCCAGTTTCTCCTCCCAAACTTCCCTACAGTTTCCCCTCCCCTCCCCTCCTCTCCCCTCCCCTCCAGTCCCCTGTCTCCTCTTCTCTCCCTCCCTTTATCTCTCTTTCATACTTGAGACAATCTCACTGTGCAGCCCAAGCTGACCTTGAACTCACTATCTACCCCAGGCTGCCCTCACACTTGGGGCGCCCCACCCTCCTCTTTGCCTCCTTCCATGATGCTCACCTGTGGAGACCAGAGGCGATGAGACTTGCTCCCTCAACTCAGGTACTCTGCACCTAGTTTACATCTTAGTCACTCATTTTGTTTGTTTGTTTACAGTGTACTCATGCAACACATATACACGGAGGTCAGAGGATTACCGGTGAGAGCCATTTTCTCTTTCGCCATGTAGATCTGGGGCTCAGCCTTGGGTCGTCAGGGTTGGTGGGTGGGGATCTACAGCCCCCCTACGGCCCCCTCCTGACCGCCACAGTTGAATCTGGAAGTCACTATCTGCCGTAAGCCTTCTGCTTTCTCTTGAAGGAGAGGGGGTCTCTGTGTAAATTGGGAAGATTGTGTTTGAGAGTGCCTGCTAGAGAGACACAGAATGACTGCAAGTTGTGCTTAGCCCCCACTGGAAGCCAAGTGGAATCTGTTTGTGAAGAAATTGCTCTTGGGGCAGAAAGGCAGAGGAAAAGGGGTGGTCTACGCCAGGTATTTGGGGAGGGCTTATTGAATTAGGTAGATAAGCGGAGCAGCATTGGATTTGCATTGACTTGTATTTCCCCCCTAAAATTAATTTGTCTTAAAAATTAAACCTGGCGCGTCAACTCGCTATTAGTTATTTTCTCATACAAGGAGGAAGATAGAGGACAAGAAATCCACGTCCGTGATTTTGTGGATGACAAATAAAACTCTAATAAGCCCAGCCTGGGCTCCTTTCGGTGGCCTCTTTGCTTCTGCAAATCTCCCAACGGAGGAAAGACAGAGACAAGGGGAGGGGGATGAGTGGGGGGGAGGTAGGGATGGGAGGAGACTCCAGTTTGGTTCTAGAGTCCTGGACCACAGTTATTACTAAGAACCCGAGGGGCGGATGAGGCAGCCAAGCATGACGGCTGACTTCCATCCCCAGAAGCCACAAGGTGGAAGGACAGGCCCAACTGGCAAGCTGTCCTCTGACCTCCATGCATGTGCTGTGGCATGTGCATGTACACATGTACACATGCAGACACACACCTGAATAAACTAATGTAACATTTTTTTAAAATTCCACTGTCATAGGCTGTGAAGACAGTTCATCAGTAAAGTGCCTGTCTTAAAAGCATGAGGACCTGAGTTCAAATCCCAGAATCCATACAAAAGAAGCCAGAGGCACTGGTGTACACTGTGATTCTGCTGCTGATAAGGTGAGCATGGGCTTTGATGCCTGGGGCTCACTGGTCAGCCATCTAACCGACTCTGGGAACTCCAGGCCAGTGATAGCCCCGTCTCAGATAGCAATGTGGAGAGTATCTCAGGAATAATGCCCGAGGACATTCTTTGTTACATATAGACAACAGTCTCCCCATATACACATACAGGAACACATAGATACTTGTGAACACACACACACACATACACACACCTGGTAAGGACTTTACAACAGTGACTGAGAACTTCCAGCTGCACACAGCAGGCCTGATGTCTGACAGACAGCTATGTCTTATATGCTGGGCACTGGACATGCATTTCTATGTGACTTCACAGAGCCTGCATGGTGGTCCTCCTAGGACCACAGTCTTCCTAACAGAGTTTTCCTGCTCATATCTAATTGTAACCCAGTATTAGACACATCATGTTCCTGATAGGAAGAGTTGAAGTGTAGTGAAAACATGCAGATACAATGTGATATCCAGATGTGGTGTGGCATCCAGATGTGGTGTGACATCCAGATGTGGTGTGATATCCAGATGTGGTGTGGCATCCAGATGTGGTGTGACATCCAGATGTGGTGTGGCCTTTAAGGGAATCAAGGGAATCAAGGTCTTTCTAAGTCAGTGCTATTGGCTTGGAGGCTGAAGGTCTGGTGAGACCTGTGGTTTTCTAGGGGAGAGCTTAGACACTCTGGTGACCATGGAGGCACAGCTGCCTGTGCTTTGAACTTCCGGTCTGGCATCCAGACAAGTTGCGGAAGAGCTGAAAGAGAGCAAAGGACTTGGTTCCTGATCAATTTGTGTGACAAGTGTGGAAATCATCGGTTAATATTTGCCCAGTGATAGGTTTCAGACTACGGACTGTTTACCTCTTTTACAGGAACAGAAGAAAGAAAGTCATAAATCAAGGTGTTTTTTAGACCCATTGGCTGAACTATCAAAGAGGCAGGGCACAGAAGAGTAGACAAAGCTCAGTTACAGGCCTCAGATGCTGTCTGATGACATTCCTAGCTCTTCAGTTCATAGAAACTAGCAGTTTGTTTGCGCTTTCCAAAGGGTTTACCTGATGGCCCCAAAGATGCTAGGTCATATCCAGAGGAGGGCAATACATAGCGTTGGGGGTGGGGGCTAAAGACAACCCAGGACAGTATGTTTCTGGACTTGCAACATCCCAACCATTCCACACCACGGATGGTCTAATCAGTACACCAGCCTTTCTAGTCACAGCTTCTTTGCAGAAATTCTTGCTCACACGGGGTTCTGGAGAGGAGCTCAGCAGGGTAGCGTGGTGCGCTGGCACACCTCAGGTCATGCTCAGAAGGTTTTCCTTATCAATCAAAATCAGAGAATTATGGCTCTAAGCACAGGGAGCAGTCAACTCATTTTGTCTTAATTTTCTAAACTCCAGAAAAAAAAATGAGTATATACTGTGTGGAAGACTTCATGGGTTGAGGGTTCCTCCAGACATAAAACTTAAATTGCTTTAGGCTCTCTTTTGAACAGCTACTTTTAGATTGGCATAATGCATTTAGATTCTCACAATACATTTCTCTAGGGCTGGAGAGATGATGGCTCAGTGGATGAGAGAATGCATTATTCTTCCAGAGGTCTTGAGTTCAGGTCCTGACACCCACATTGGGAGGATCACAACCACTTACATCTCTGGCCACGATACCCCTTCTGGCCTCTGTGGGTACCCCCACACAATTGGCATGCACTCACACAATTTATTTTTAAAAAGATATCTTCATGTTCTGTGATTAAAAAACATACTTTGAAATGTAAAGATCTGAAGTGACTGGAGAGATGGCTTAGTGATTAAGAGTGTATGCTGCTCTTAGAGAGACTTGGGTTTGGATCCCAACACCCACATGACCCCTCCCAACTCTAACTCCGATACCAGAGGATCCAGTGCCCTCTTCTGGTCTCCTCAGGCATTGCATGCACATAGTGCACATATACTCATTCAGGCAAAACACCCATACACATAAAAATAAATTTTAAAGATCTTCAAGATTTAAAAAGATCCCAGAATACCAGGGGAGGAACTCCATTTTATCATTCAGTCTCAGAATCCGTGGGTGTGTTTCTACCAACCTGAATTTTGTATCCAAAATAGGAGGGGTGCGATAGGAGTAGGGGTGGGGGTGGCAGCATGCGGTAGCAGAGACAGTGAACAAGGAGGAGGCCAAAGCCGAACCTAGAGAGTGGAACCAAACCCCATCCAAGGAGGGAGGTGGAACCAAACCCCATCCAAGGCGGGAGATTTGCTGCCTTGGGCTCCTGGCACTATCCCAGACTCTGGCTGGGCCATAACAAGGGTTAGTTCTAGTCTAAGTTCTACCAAATACCCCCCCCCTGTGCCTCCAATGGAGTCTCCCACTGGCCTGTGCTAGTGTGAGCAGGTGTCTGTCTCCTGTCGCTGAGTGCACAGGGTTCCAAGTGGATTTTCCATCCACAAACTCAGCTGCATGAGAAGCTCCCCCTGTACAGTCTACAAAACACACTCATTTCTCTCTCTCTCTCTTTTTTGTTTTAGTTTTAGTTTTAGTTTTTGTTTTTTCGAGACAGGGTTTCTCTGTATTGTTTGGAGGCTGTCCTGGATCTCACTCTGTAGACCAGGCTGGCCTCGAACTCACAGAGATCCGCCTGCCTCTGCCTCCCGAGTGCTGAGATTAAAGGCGTGTGCCACCACCGCCCAGCCACACTCATTTCTTCTAGAGTTCCCTTAAACACAGGTGGTTGAAGCCATTCTTCAGAGGCACCCCACTTTCTTCTGCCACCTTCCCACCTTCCGCACAGCATGTTGGGACACTGGTATTTTCTATGGACTGCACACATGCAGTCCTTGGACTGCCCATATGCATACCCACTGGTAAGGGAAGATTTGTTCTGGCTCTCTGTATTGGAAGGATCTGAGTCTGTCATGGCAGGCAAGGCCCAGCGGTGGGAGCTTGCTCTGGCCGCTTGTCTACATAGCAGTGGACCAGAGGCAGAGAAAAGGGACCACAGTAGGTGCACACCCACTCATCCAGCCAACACCCACACCTCTCTGTGCTCCTGTGTTGTGGGCTGGGCTGCTCCCTGCTTTCCAGGCCTCACTCTGGACATTGTGTTCTTTGAGGAGTAATTTCTTTCCAACCCAAACATCCCCTCCTGGAGGGAGGCGGGAGGCTCCTGAGAGTCAGGGGGTGAAATACACAATGCTATTCTCAAGGCCACATCCTAAGACTAGACAGGCAGCAGCAGCCACACGGAGGAAGATGCTCTGGCCTTTAGGGAACTCCAGGGATGCAGTAAGCCGCCTTTGAGTCATCTGCATTCCTGTGTGTAAGCCTAACACACTCTGCGGTTCTCCAAGCCAGACTTGGGGACAATTGTTTCTTTGGCCTCTCAAACGTACCATATCTATCTGGAATGAATAGATATTTCTTTGAGTCTCCCCAGGAAAACTTCCATATGTTCCCTTGGAAACAGCTGCCAATCAATGACTGCTGAGAGGTGGGGCAAAACCATCCATACTCCGTCAGCTCTCTAGTGGGGAAACCCAGAAATGCACGCCATCCAAGAGTCCCCAGGGAATTAGGTGAGGCACACCAGAGAGTTGGCAGCCTTGCCTCCTCCGTCCCACTGGTCTTAAATCTTGCTGGTAGATGTGGGTATTAGCTTTCTAGTGAAACATTTGTGCTCCCAGGATCCGCTGCTGGAAAATGCATCTGTTTTGTTTTTTGTTGTTGTTGTTGTTGTTTTTTCTTTCTCTGTGCAGAGCAGGTAAGAGGGCGTGGAAAGTCCTTAATGCACCTTGTAGCCAAGGTTCACACCTCCTTGTCATCCCTCAGCAACGACCTTCACAGTGCTCCAGAGTCCCTTGCTCCATCCTCCCCTTCAACCAGCTGGTTCTGTTTGACCAGTTTTCTAATGCACTTGTCTGTGTCCAAAGCTAGATCAGTGGGAGGCCCAGCCGCAGCAGAGGGTGAGAATTTACAAGGGCACAGCGTTGTTAAGGACCTCGGCAGGGACTGTACAGGGATATCACATTGGCCAGGAGTATGGGGGCTTGGGATTGGGGACCCAAATCTACACCTGTGGGCAGGAAAGCAACGCTTAAAGGAAGCTTGAAGAGGCTGGTGGTTGCAGGCAGCACTAGGGGTGCTGAGGCCTCCAGTCAGTAGGCGGAGCCCGATGGGAAGCTGGGAGGAGCACTCAAGCATCTGTCTCCTTGGCCCTCTCTGCCTACCACTGCACTTCCCATCATGGGACCCCATTGCGAACCAGAGGGCCAGGACTCCGCTGGCATTGTCCACTCAGATCAACCTCCTGGGAGCAGGAGAATGACAAAGGGGAGCAACACTCCTCCATGCTTTCCAGGGACCAGACTGTCTTCTAAAAGTCTGTAGGACATGACGTGAATTCCATGTGCACTTACATTTATAAGGGTGTTTGGTGAGCGATGGAGAGACGGTTAAGTTGCTAAAGTGCTTGCCTCTAAGAGTTGAGATCCTGGGTTTAATCTCCAGTGACATGTATAAAAGCCATGGCATGGTGGTGCATGCCTCTAACTCCAGTGCTGAGAAGCGGAGACAGGAGGATCCCAGGGGCTCAGTGGTCAGCCACACAGCTCGCAGGGCCCCAAGCTACTGAGAGACCCTGTGTTAAAACTGTAATGGATGGTGACTTTAAGGAATGACACTTGAGGTTGTCTCCTGGTCTCTGCATGCCCATGTTCACACACACACACACACACACACACACACACACTCCCACACATAGTCATATACATATATACTTTTATGTGGTCTGTAACAAAAATACCTGGGCACAAAATAGTAAATGGAGTGCAGACTCAGTTGGCCCTTCTTACTTAAGTTTAGACTGCAGAGCCTGCCATTTTCATGTGAAGGGTTTTGAGCATCACACAAGATGACTGCTCATCTTTGAGATGAGACAGAGATTCACTGGCCACAACTCAGCCTTGCAGACTCAGATGAACCCGGAAGCCCCGGCTCTGAATCCAGGGCCCTAAAATCTTCCTGGGATGGGATGTCATCTCCATCTGTCTCCAGGGATGATAAACAATGATGACCACTCACCCACTCACCATACCATCTCCCCTCCCCCCAAAAAAGGCAATTCAAATAGTGAGGTATAAGAGTCAAAGAGTCAAGCATGGCTCTCTCTCTCTCTCTCTCTCTCTCCGCGCGTGTGTGTGTGTGTGTGTGTGTGTGTGTGTGTGTGTGTGTGTGTGTGTGATGTTCATATGCACCTAGAGTCTTCTGCCTTCTAGGCCCAGGCTGTCCTTGAACTCTCTATGCTGCTGAGGATGACCTTGAACTTCTGATCCTCCTGCCTCCACCTCCCAAGTGCTAAGGTTACCTATGTGTGCACCTGCACGGCCAGCAAGCATATCTCTTTCTTATTTTGCTGCAGCACCTTCCAGAAACAACAGCAGAAGTGAATGTGCTTGTGACCCTGTAGACCTCCTGGCTGTCTTGGATGTTGGGATTCTCCATCTCTTGTGTGTTTTCCTTTCAGAAGAGGGGGCAGAACTGAACCAGGCTTGGCACATGCCTATAATCCCAGCATGTGGGAGGCTGGGGAAGGAATACTACAGTGAGCTGGAGGCTTTCCAGGGCTACTGAGTGAGTATCAGATGACCCAAGACTACACAGTAAGGCCAAAGGCCATGTATCTAAAAAGGACAACAACAAAAAATCGCCAAGCAAGCAAACAGCAACAAAAAGAATGAATAAAAGAGGGGGGGGGTGTGCTATAGAGATCTAGACTCCTAAAGATTCCTTCCTTTGATAGAATTCATCTGGACCTCTGACCTTCCTCACTGGTGTCTGCTTATTTAAGCCTCCCCATGCCTTGGGTATATGTCTAGGGAATTTCCTTCAGCATTCAAACACTATTAGGAATCCTTTATCCCTTGGGCATTTCACTCTTTTTATAGCTCCATGTCTAACCCAAGGCATGAAATAGAAAACAGGATAGAAAATCTGCAGCGTTGGGAGCCCTGGTATTATAGTGCAGATGCCAGCAATGGAAACATGAACCAAAGTCATAGCAGCGCGTACAAGGGTGAAGTATTATGTTGAGGTGCTACATAAAGGTTGGTGTTAGAAAGGTCTGGATGTGAGCTTCACGTGCACCTGCTTCTAACTCAGGCGAAATGAGTTAACCTCCTCTTTTGCCCTTCAGCTACAAATTGGAGCAACCAGTTCTTCCCAGGGTTGCCCTGAGGATTGTAGTTGATGTGAGGGAGGGGTTTAAGGGATAAATGACAACTTAAGCACTTAGCCCTGTGCCTGGATGCCGATGAGGATCCAACAAAGCTCATTGTCCCTTAGTGTCTGCATGTGTGAACAATGGTAAGGGACTTGTAGTCTATACCTAACCCGGTGTTCACAGCTATAGCATCAGACTTGTTAAGAACAGCTGAGACAGAACAGATGTGCTTTGTGGGAGCAGAGATTAGCCCTAGGGACCAGAGAGTCCCCGACATAGGATGTTCTTCATGAGGACCCTATCTTTCAAGACCCTAGGCAGGGGTCAGGACACCTGTGATGTGATTAGGATAAAATAAGGTCCTCAGAGTGGAGCTCTCATGGTTGAAGCCTAGTGTCTCTATGAGCAAAGAGAGATGTTGTCCCAGATAGACTTAGGCGCTCCTTGTCCCTAACTTGTGGTGTTTGGAGACTCTGCCTGCATGAAGGCTGAACCCACACCTTCTGCATTGTGAGCCCAAACAGACATCTGTTCTTTTAATATTCATTTTTACTTTGTGTATATAGTGTTTGCCTGTGTGTATGCATGTGCACCTTGTGCATGCAGTATCTGCAGAGGCCAGAAGAGGTCACCCTATCACAGGAACTGAAAGTACAGATGGTTGGTAGCTGTCACATGGGAGCTGAGCCAGGTCATGTGGAAGAGCAGCCAGTAGACACTGCTGAGCCAGCTCTTCATCCCCATGAAATCCTTGTTTTAAAGAAGGATCTCCCCCAGGATTCACATGCTTTGGCACATTGCAATTCTGGTGCAGAAACCAGTCCCATGGCTATACAGGCATTGGTTACCAGTCTTCAGGGGGCATAGAGAGACAATCCCAAAAGAACAATATCTAAAGCTAGTATAGAGATAAGAGCTTTGGTCCAGCAGAGAAAAAGAAGGAAGAGGTATGGTCAGGCATTAGATAAATTATACTTGCAAGCTTTTTTTCTATCTCTCCTCAGTCTTTATCCAGTGTCAACAGAGCCTTGATTCGCCCTTTTCAGAAAACTGCCACCAAATCAATGTGCCCTTCAAGCCCTGCCTCTATTGGCCACGACTTAGCTGCTGCCATCCCTGAATGGCCAGTTGGCTTTGTCTATCCCTGTCTTGGGGTGTTGGAGTCGGGATAGGAAGTTTCATGTGAGGCTTCTAAAGAAGGCTTGGAGATTTGAATCAACCATATGCATAATGAATGGATAGGGTATAGTTAGGAATAGAGGGTGGGGGAGAAAAAGGAGGGGAGGGGAAGGGATGCCCATCAGTAGAAGAACGGATAAACAATACAGCAGGCAGTATGCAAATGAAAGGGAGTGGTACTCAGCCTTGAGAAGAAGGAAGCCTAGCCCATAACATCAGCATGGATGGACTTGGAGGATAACCGGATAAACCAAACAAGTCAGTCAGTCACAGAAAGAACACACTGCGTCTGTGTGATTCCTTTCCTGTGAGATCTGCGTACTTGCACATGTGTGTGTAATGTGTGCATACACATGTCAGATGTCTTCTTCAATTGCTCCCCACCTTGTTTTTTTTTTTTTTAAGACAGGGCCCCTCACAGAATATAGAGTTCATGAAGTCAGCTAAGCCAAGGAGTTTGTGGGTCTGCCTGTCTCTCACTCTCCAGCACCGGGGTTACAGACGGGCATCACTGACCATGGCTGGGGTATGGTGCGGGGGATCCAAACTCACACTCTCATTCTTATTTGGCAGGTGCAGGAAAAACTGAGCCATCTCACCAGCCGCCGACGCTATAGAGTACCTGGATTCATGGAGACAGAAGTACAAGGGTGGTTTGAGGGATGGGAAATGAGAGGGGCCGGGAGGAGCTGTCTCCCATCCACTGTTTCTCAGCTTCACTTCTGTGAAATGCGAAGAGTTCCGGAGACTGGTTGTAGAACAGTGCAAATACACTCACTACAACTGAACCACGATTAAGAAGGGGTGAAACCGTCTATCTTGAAAAGGGAATCAATTAATCAACCAAAGGGCATTGTACAAACTCCAGCGGTAGTGTCCCATAGTCTATATGAGGTACACCTTTTCAAAGATATGGAATATGTTTTTGTTTGTTTGTTTGTTTTTGGTGGCCCCTGTGTTCCCTAGAAGCCTCAGGCAGGCAGGGAGCAGAGAGAGATGGAACTTCAAGATCTAAGCAGGATGCTGTTTGTGTCACGGTCATTTTTCTGTAAGATGAGCCCGTTTGGTTCCATTTGCAGGTCTTATGTTCCCATCTTTTCTTCCCATCCCATATCACCCAGCTTTGAACTGGCAGGTTATACTACAGCCACAAGATTCTGTCTTCTCCTTTTCTTTGTTCGGTTGAATCTGATTCCATTTAAACCCTGCCTTCTCCTCTCTCTCTCTCTCTCTCTCTCTCTCTCTCTCTCTCTCTCTCTCTCTCTCTCTCTCTCTCTCTCTCTCTCTCTCTCTCTCTCTCTCTCTCTCTCTCTCTTTCTCCCTCCCTCCCTCCCTCTCTTTCCCTCTCTCTCTCTCATTTGGATTCAGACTTTATGCCAAAAAACTTGCAGATCCCGTTTTCTTGCATGGCTTACAAAATTGGACTTGGCATTATTGCTCTCGCTTTGTGTGGAGCTGTCTAGCACTGCACTGTCCCTCAGATGACCACAGTGATGTCATGAGTGGCCTGTGTGTGCTGTCAGGAGATAAATCGTGCTGTTAGCAATGGAGTTCATAACAGCCGTGCAAACCTCAATGCGTGGCGAGACCCAGCAGTACTGGTGTGATTCCTATCTTGGGAGACACTGCTGGTCTGGTTGCTTATGAGCCCTGCATTCATTTCTTTTCTGTTGCTGTGATGAAAGACCCCAACAAAGCAGCTTATGAGATAAAAGGAATTGACTTACAATTCCAGGGAGATAGAGTCTATGCTGGCCCAGCATCAGGAAACGGAGGGAGATGACAGGAAGTAGGGCCAGGAAGTAAACCCTCAAAGCCCGTCCCAGTGACATACTTTCCCCAGCAAGGCCATAAAGATTCCAAACCTTCCCAGACAGCACTGCTAGCTGGGAACCAAACATTCAAACAGGTGAACCTAGAGGAGACATAGTTCACATTCAAACCACAGCAAGCCCCAGTCAGGTTAGAAAATTCTCTTTATAATATGCCCAAAGCCCTAATTTTATCTAGAGCTTAAAGTTCTTATCATCATTTTATAAAAATAAATGCATCAACATCTTACTAAGCCATGGTGTGCCTTGGCGACTCAATGGAGTGATGGGAACACAAAGCACCATGCAAAAACATGACGCTATCCTCCTTGGATTTGCTCAGCAGAAGCAGACGACTGTTTGCCCGTCAAATGTGTCAAAAATTTAAAGAGAATTTTTCTCTTTCCTATTGGAATCTATTTAGAAGGTGACACTCAAATGACCAAATTTTATAGTCTTCAATATAGTCATGTTAGCAGTAAAGGCTGCAGGACACAGTCTCTTGTCGGGTTAGAGACCTAGTACTGCAGTAGGGATGGGTCAGTCAGTAGCCATTACTCCTAGGAAGGCGGGCTCCCCTTATCCATGCCGGGGAGCTGAGTGGATCTATTAGCCCCTTACTGAGATTCCCTTCCCCAAATCCCTTCCCTTTGTACAAAAGCTGACAGGGACGCAGCCACACAGCTGGTAAGTCGGCCTGCTTTCCTGAATCATTCAAAAAGATGAAACTTCCTTTATTCTTTAAATCTCATGTCTAAACATTCCTTCGTTAACACTTTGGGCTTCCCCTCCAACATTTCAGGCTTCCTTATTCATTCTCTAGTGCCTCCATGGAGCTGCGTGTCAACCCGTCTGACCTCCGTGCCGGCTTAAATGCCAAGGTCCTTTTTCTTTCTGTCTCATTCTGCCCTGCGCAGTTGCTGAAGGATTTACAGCTCACCTGCCTCTGGGGTTTATCTTTTAAACTCTACTAAAACTTTCCTTGTGTTTCCATCTGAGCCCATTATTAACCCCTAGAGGAGGCCCTGGTTCGTTTGTATGTTAGATCATTGTTTTGGTGTCTGTAAAGCGGTTCTGCTGCAGGAGGTCAAGAGTCTTTGAGAACAAGCTAGAGAGTCAATAGGATGAACTGTTGCCTTTGAGGCCACGCCCCCTGCAGTGGCCTCCCTCAGTGGCTGTGGAGGAAGTGGTGAGCCTGCTAATGACCCCTCAGAGTCTGCAACTGACCCCCAGTGTCCAGATGCCAAGAGAGTGGCAGGCTGCATGTTTATCCCCCCCCAGGAAGCTTACGGGCTTCGGTTGTCAGACTGCCTGAGGACACCAGAAGATGCACCCCTCTTCCCCCCATATCCTCCCAATCACATCTTCCTTCTCTAGAATTCTCTTCCTTCCCCCACTGTCCAGTGCCAGGGAAATCCTGATTGCCTGCATGGGAAATGTGCCTTACTGGATCCCCTGCGGTGCTGCTGTCTGTCCATCCATGGAGTCAGTAACTTTGTAATAAGCTTCTCTTACTCCAAAGAATAATCCACCTCAGTGTCCCCTGAGCCCCAAACCTTCCACATACATGTACACAAGAGGCACAGGCAGGAAGAGGGAGGGCAGCATAGCTGGAGGAAGGTTTATCTGCGGTTAGGGAAATGTCTAAGAGTGATGGTATTTTGGGATCCCTTCTGATGATGAAGGGCCTGCGGTGACTAACCAGTGTGATGAGGAATCTGAGCAGTGAGAAATAGAGCCTGTGTTTTTACTTCAATCAATATTATTTTGGTTCCTCGTAAGCTACAGGTAAGCTACATTGCTCAAGAAACTAAGTCTACAAAAATTTCCTGTGTCGCTTCTGCTTCTCCGAGGCTTGAGTGGTACTGGCGAGAGAAAATGGTTTCTTTAACCCTGAAGTAGGTGAATCTCAACGACACATCAAGTAGATGAGTCAAGATACAAAAGATGTCTTCCTTTAGGATTCTTTTATATAAAGTGTCCAAAACAAGGGCAACTCATGGAGAAATAGGCTAAGTGATGGGAGTAGGAATGTCACAGACGGACTGAAGATGTCATTATTGGCATGACAGGTGCATTCTTACTGCACCCTGACAGTCACGATTGCTTATCACCTCACCCTATCTAGCCACTAATATATGGAGGACTGCTATGGCATGAAAGTTTGGTCTGGTTTTTTTTGGGGGGGGAGGGTTGGACAGGGTTTCTCTGTGTAGCCCTGGTTGTCCTGGAACTCACTCTGTAGACCAGGCTGGCCTGGAACTCACAGAGATCCACTTGTGTCTGCCTCACCAGTACTGGGATTAAAGGCGTGCGCCACCACAGCCCGACGGAGATGGAATGTGTTAGCTTCCACAGAGGCGTGAGAACACATGGGCGCATCTGGCTTGCTTCACTTGATGCGATGTCCTTGAGTCCATCCATGTTGCTGCAAATGATGATCAGCTTTCCTAATGAGGGAGCTGCTTTCCAACCTGTTTATATGCAATGCTCTTTATGCTTTCATTGCTTGATGTAACCTTTGGCTGATTCCATATCTTAAAAATATATACTCATGCATGTATGTGTGTGTGTATATGTATGTGTCTGTTATGCATGTGTGTGTGTGTACACATGGATGTATGTGTGTCTGTGCTATATATGTCTCTGTGTGTCTGTGTATGTATTGTGTGTATGTATGTATGCGTGTGCCTGTGTGTGTATATGTATGTATGTGTGTGTCTGTGTATGTATGTGTGTGTGTATATATGTATGTATGTGAGCCTGTGTGTGTGTCTGTGTCTGTATGTCTGTATGTGTGTGTGTATATATGTATGTGTGAGCCTATGTGTGTGTGTGTGTGTATGTGTGTATCTGTAAAAGAATAAAAACAGAAAGGTGAAGTGGGTAAGTTTCGAGCCCTGCCAAGGCATTCCACTAAGCAAACATGCCACTCACAACAGAGTTAGTGCAAGAGGGACATGAGAGAGGCAGACAGACAGACAGACAGACAAACAAAGAGAACAAGGAAGAGACAGTAAGAAGAAGAGAGACACAAAGGCAAGAGAGGAGCATGAGGCAAGAGAGCCAGCTGAGCCTGGCAGGCGCTTCTCAGGAGTGTCCACCCTAGATAGCTGCCATTGAAGCACCCGGCCACGGGGACTGATGTGACTGCCTTGCTGGCAGAGGAAGGCTGCCGCCGCCACAGGAACTACCATTCCTCCCTTTCGTTTGTTATGAAACGGGGAGGAAATAGGAAGGGGAGCTGGTGAAGTGGGGATGGGGACACTGTGTTCTCTAGACTGCTTCCTGTTGACTGGGGGGGGTCGGCACTTTAGGGGGACCTGTGACAGCTAGGATGCTGGCCAAGTCCTGGGATAGCTGGCTGTTTCACTCACTGTTCAGGCCCCGTGGGACCGCCTGGGGCTAGGAAAGTGCAGGTCTAGTTGAAGCAGTCTGTGAAGTTGGACCACTTTGAAGCTGTCTGGGATGCAAATTTTGAGGGGAACTGGCAGGAAGCTAGCAGAAAATAAAGTTAAAACATTTTAGGGTGAAAATTTTCTTAGATTCTGTTAATTGAGGGGGTTCTCGAGATCTGAGAAAGGTGGGGGAGATCCCCACTCAGGAACAGGCTGTAGGTGGGGAAACTCATGGTACTGATTGACAGCACTTATCAGGAGTCCATTTGACCTGCGTTTGACTGCCTGGAGCTGACAACAATTTTTCTGAGTTTACAAAAAAAAAAACAACAAAGTAAGTTTTAGACATGCTAGCATTCACATTATTTGTAATCTATACTGAAACCCACATTGTAGAAAAGGCAATAGACTCACGCCTTTGAGTCACAGGGGACCCAGAAATGCTTCTGGCTAAAAGCATTAACACTCTTTCCTCCATCCCGAAGACTGGATGTATATAGAATATAGATTAGACAGATGTTTTTAGCACAATGAGAAGCACTTTTAAGTATATACTTAGAAAACAACCAAAGGCAATCTAAGATCTTGATCTTGTTGACTATGATAATACTAGTTGTACTTTACTAGATTAATAGCTTATCATAATTCCATTGATTAATATTAAGACTATGAACTTTTGGAGTCTTAACACAACAGTAGAATAGAGAGAGAGAGAAATCTGAAACATGTCTCATTTTTATAGACCTTACATTACTTTCTTTTATCACCTCTAGGCTTTTTCATCCTTAGACTTTATAACTTGCATTTGCCCACCTTAAGTAACTTTGTTATCATCGCTTCCACACCCTCAGACTTTTATAGCTTGTATTTAAAACATCTTAGACCCTAAAACGTTTTCTTAGATCCTCACAACTTAAGCTTTCATATCTTCACGCAAACTTTACACCTCTTTTCTATCTAATATT